CTCCACCGCAACTATAGAATTATTGGTGCTATTGAATGCAGATCCTCGACTGAAGAGACCAAGGTACCCACCAGTTGAATTCTCCGGGATTTCAGATTGGAAAGGAGAAAGGAAGAAGGATATCCCATCACCGAATTGTGTGGGAACAACGGCTTTCATTATAAAGGAAAAATGGGTGGTGAAGTCTGTGAGCTTCCCTGTTGTTCTATCCCAAACACGAACCGGTTCAGCATACGAGACTCGACCGACACTGCTCGTGATGGGGCCATCGAGTCGGTTCTTCGTAAGCTGAAGAACATCATCCGACGAAAAGGCATCACCTTGGAAGTATATCAGGTTCATGTTCGGTTGGAACTTGGTGAAGTTAAGGGAAACTGAGTCTACAGTGTCTTGGAGCGACAAGAACAACGTGAAGATGAGCATGAAGAAGACAGGAGCAGAGGATGCCATTGCTGAAAGCAAGAGAGAAGGAAAGCAGTGAATAATGGGCGAAGTGGCCAAGGAATGGAGCTCTGCTATATGCGACGAACAATTCAGAGATGAATAATTAAATTAATGAGATTGATCATCTTTTGAAGCATTCTCGGGAGTTGGGAGGCCGACCAACTAAGAAATGTCGTTACTTAAAACGCCATCGATGCTCATAAAGAAATAGAGAATTGGCAGTGGGAGAAGTTTCAATATGTCATAAACATTTGACCTGATGTGCTCAGGATTGTGAAATCCATATGTTGTTTCGTTTTCGTCTTCTCCACTTGGGATTTAACTAATACGAGTAAGCTCCAGATGATAAAGACAAACACTCGAGGTGATCGGTAATTCGATATGTTAACTCGTCATTGCTACACTTTCAAAGTTTGCCTCGTCCTCCTTGCGTAGGATTTGATGAGGCAAATTAAACCACATTGTATAACATGTACAAGCTCAAGGAACTATATATATATATATATATTGAACATTGATTAACTGATTCACTCCACCAAAATCATACCTTCTTGCATATTAGCCATGGAGGGACTACTTTATAAAAGAATTGACTCAAGAGTTACACTACAATTAAATTACTATTTAAATTTTTATACTATTATTTGGCTCTACTATCAAGTACCTGTTAAGGATAGTTCTAATATGATTTCATTTCCTATACGTAGAGATTCATAAAATTTAAGCCTCAATAATGGGCCTTAGGAGTGAATAGATAGATTTAAGTTACGATTAATGTAGTGTAGAAAGTAAATCAGTTTTGTCTTTCTTCAAGAAAGATGCTTGAATTTCATTTCTTTTTTTTGATAAAAAATTTCATCACCCCTTGAATTTTGAAAATATGCACTCTCACAAAATGTTCAGGTTGTGTTAACACCTTGGGCAAAATGTACGTTTTTTTTTTTGGGCCAATCAAAATTTCCGTTACATTTACACATATTTGACCAAATATGCCTTTATATCCGTTCATGTTCCCCGTCGCGCCAAATAGTATCACTTTAGAGTAAAATTACTACTTTAGGTATTCAAAAGTATTAATTATCTTTTGACAATTTCCCTTCAATTAATGAGAAGTGTTTGTTTTAAGACTTGTATACTTCATCTATTTCTCTTTATAAGATAAAATTACATTTTCTTTTTACAAATCAAGAAAACTACTTTACGTAATTATATTATATTTTCATAAATATTTTATAAATCATCTTAATAAATAAAAATGTCAAAAGCCCAAAACTTTCTAAAAACTATCTTATAAAATGAAACAAGGAACAATAAATAAAAGTACTTCTCTGGTTTTATTTATAAGGTAGAGAAAGAAAAAAAATTTAATTTTATTTATAGAGCACTTGCTAATTTTTAATGCTCTTATTTATATTTTTGCCCTTAAATGCTTTGAATAAAAATACTAATACTTAAATTTAAAAATATTTATTAGAGATAAAGGTGAAAACATGTTAAATTTTAAAATAAAATTAATGAGATTTAAAATTTTCCCTGATTCTAGTAAAACATGTTAGAAATGACTTATAAATAGAATAAGAAAGAGTATTTTTATTTCTTGTAAACATGTATCCTTCTATGAAATACAAGTGGCAATAAATTTTTTTGTATTGTAAATCATTGTTCAGAATAAATTAAATAAAAGTATCCTCCTATTAAATACAAGTGAAAAAATATATTTTTTTGCAATACATATGCATTCCATTTTTAAATTTAGAATCAATTAAATCATCAACTTTTAACATAAAATAAATAATTCAAACAAAATATTAATTTTTTATAATTCTTATTGTCAATGAAAATGAAATTGATGTCATTGTTTAAGATATTTTTGATAATATATATTTCAATTTAGATTTACATCTCTTTTTATATATCATAAACGAAAAAACCATCTTATTTGGAGAAATTTTATATAAGAGAAAATTTTAAGTTTCATACGATATCAAGGCCTTGAGTGAGTTGGCTTGCCCATGTCATCCGGCCGGCCGGCCGGCAATCGCTCCCCCCTCCCTCCTCTCTCAGGATTTTATAGATTAAATGGATTATCATAATGGCGAGGGTAGAAAAGCACGAGAAGACAGGCATACGAGACAAGAATAACAGGTCAACTCAATAGTATATCCAGTCTTCCGGTGCCGGTGCCGGCTTTCTTCTTGGAATAATTCTAATAACACAGTACACTAATTAATAATCATCGTATTAACTAGTACAGTACAGGTGTTTTCTCCAGGTTACGTTGAAGGACTGAATAACATCCGAGTGACGTCGTCCATTCATTTTCTTGAGTTACTTCTTAGTTCTCTGCATTATGCATGCTCTGCTTCTAAAGTAGGATCAAAGAGTCGAACATCTCATTGAACAGAGATCTATATACATCAAGATCAAAATTAACATCCTGTCAGGTTATCAGCAAGATGCTGCAATTCGCCCCATTCTGGATTTGGACTTTTTTGTGATATTACGTCACGTTAACATATTCTAGCATTTCTATAATGTTTTTGTATAACAATAACGGGCTCATCAAGTTGGAGCCTGCAATATTGCCTTGAAATCTCATGTTCAGATTCAATCTGCATTGTTCAGTTATATAAACAATATTACTGAAGGTTTAATATTTGAATCCCACATGAATCGGGATGTTATTGAATATAACTGTATATATAAAGTATCCCAGACATATCTTTAAATGATCTATAAGCCTCTTCCTCTCCATCATGTGCTGTACGTACGTCTTGATAATTTACAGTAGAGTGTGTCATTCCATCAAAAGCCATGGCCACATTTGGGCTTTTAATTTGGTTGGGCTTAGGAGTATTTGCGGGCAGTATAAATGAACAAGCTAAGACGAAAATAACAAGAATTAAAAAAAAAACCAACAAAAATTAATTTAGTTGGTAAATATTTCACTCATAACTTAAAAGATAATAATAGCATTAGTTCTCGTTATGCATGAGTAATTATTTCTATAAATGCTTTTTGATTTTGATAAAAGGTGGGCTTCTTGACTTAGCCCACCTAAACGTATTTTTACCCAACAAAACAAAAAATAGAAAGGTTTGACTTTTGAGAATGGAGAATGGGGTGTGGCCTCTAAAGTTAGAATCTCACGTGCGCTGGTGTAACCATGGAGAATATAACCAGTTGCAGCTATATATATATGGAAGCTTTAGGCCGGCTAGCCTAGTATGAAAATAACTTGTTCTATGTAAAAACTAGAAGGACTGGACTTGTCAACCATGTGCCACTTGTTAATCGGTGCCTCTGTGTATATACTTATTTAGAAGGACCATTGTGGAAGTTGAGACTTGAGACTGAAATTATCAAATTATGTTACAGCCTTCCCGAAAATTTTTTAAATGGGCCCAGTGTATTATGTTGTTCATGATTAATCTAATAAAAACAGGACATTCAGTTAGCATTAAATATAAATAAATTATAATATTAATGAATGCAGGAAAAGAAAAATGCAAGAAATTAAATAGGTGTTATATTATAAAAATAAAATCATTAAAAATAATGACATATACAATTTTATTTAATTGTATTAATTTAATTTTATTAGATGGATCATGAACAATGTATCTGGTTAATCCAAGAATTTCTCCAACCTTCAAATGGACAAGTCTCATGCCTCAAAAATTTGATTGCGTTAAATATGAAGAATTTGATTTGGACGTTAAAATTTTATTTTTCAGTTAATTTTTAATTATTTCAGTCTTTTTAAGTTAATTAAATTAATTGAAAATACCCAGATGTTTTCAATTAAATCATAGGTAGCCATATATTTGGGCTAAAAAATAACGAAAAACTGACGCAAGGGGGATGAAATTAGTTACTATTAAGTAGTTCAATATTGCCTCGACATTAGTTGATATAATATAATTATTCTTCTAATAATTGATATTTGAATTTAAATTAAAAGATATGTATATCATCATAATCATCAATTGTAGGAATAAATCCTATTGGAAATGTATTCAAGAAATTTACCAATAGCAAGAGGCGAGGACTTCAAATTCTAGGCTGGAGATGCAGTGTGGACGCTTTCACGGTGATGTTGATTGACAACTTTTTCTTAGGAGAATTATTTAGGATAAAGGCTACATTATTGGAAGAACAGAGTTGGATTGATAATAGAGCCCATCTTATAGTCCTCATGCATGTTTTGGGATTTTAATTTTATGTTTATATTGTTTATTTTTAGCATGAATTACTGGATTCTCAAAAAATTAGGGATACGAATAATGTTTTGATTGTAATTTAGTTATGACTTTATATTTTACTCATCGCGGAAGCATAAGTGTATATTCTAATCCCAATTTCAACGAACAGTACTTTATTGATTTATTGAAGATGAAAATACCCAAGAGTCTTCTTGAGATACGACGCCCATCTTAAAAGGAATAAAAAAGTAGAAGACGATAAAATTCGGTAGCGAATAATAAAATGATCCACTGCCACACCAACGCCAAAGTTAAACGCGGTGTTAACTTGAATCCCGCATGTCTTGTTTCCTAGTTGAAGCTGGAACTGAAACTCCACGTAAGAATCTTGTGTAGTTCCACAACCTGTCCCGTGGAGGCAGAGAACCCAACTCTAACCCATTCCGGTAGAATGGTCCTCAAGTCAATCGTAAACGAGAGACTTGTGGTTGTCACGTTCACTCTGCTCTGAGGGTGAGTCAGAATCACACTCAGATTCTTCTGGTTTGGCTCATAGTTCACAGTGCAAACGCAATTAATCCACTCTGGACATTAACACTAGGCAGTGCCACGGTTGACACTGAAGCTATAGAGTTTATGTCAATCCCAATATGCTGAAATGCTGGGTCCCACGAGTTCCCGAAAGTGTCAAATTCAACGGCAACAATCTGATTCTTGAAGGAGTTCAGGGCAGTTTCAGCACTGAAGAGTCCGAGATATCCACCATATGAGTTCTGTGGAATGGTGGATGTGAACGGAGCTAAGAAGAAGGAAAATCCATCACCGAACAGTCCTGAGCTTGTAGGTCCCAAGACGAAGGAGAAGGTAGTGGTGAACCAAGCTAGCTTCCCTGTTTTGGCATCCCAAATCTGCACTGGCGCTGAGTACGAGGCCCTTCCGGCTCTATTGGGAAGAGCACTTGTGAGTTGCAGAGCGTTGTTTGATGTGAAGCAATCGCCTTGGAAGGTGATGTCATTGCGTGTGGAAGGTGAGAAATTGTCGAACTTGAAGGAAGCTGAATTCACATTGTGAGCCAGCATGAGGAAGGAGACGAAGATCACGAGAACACACATGGGGATTATTTGAGGCTTTGGGTTTGAGATTGCCATGTTACTCGTGTGCTCAGTTCAGTGGGCTGTGATGGGAAGAGAAGAGTCCAGAACTATATATATATATGTCTCTATAGTATACACTTACGTAGGTGTTATTAATTAATCCGTTTTAGGCCTGCAAGGAAAATAGAATAACAATGAAGCTATATGAAGAAGCCAAATCACTTGCATTGTAACGTTACAAGATGTTTGGAGTCAGTATGGGCGATTTAAACAACGAAATTAGCATATCTCGCCAAGTCACAAAAACAAATAAATAAATAAATTTTCAGGAGCTTCTTGGAGGGGACATTTACGTAATGGAGAATTTAAAAGTGCATTTGGGTTATGCAAATGAATGCTAATGGGCCAAGGAGTAACATTGTCAGTTGGGAAAATGGTTTTTTTTTTTTTTTTTGGAGAAAGGGCAAACTTATTCATGAAGTCGTCGGTTAGGAATATCTAATAATCTAAAAGTAAGAAAAAGTATAAAAATACACATAATGTTACTCAAGTTGGTGCAAAAATGATCAATTTAATAAATCCCTCAAACATTGACATTTTAGCTAACATTTAAACAAATGTTGACTTTTTTTTTTGCTGATATAAACTTAAAGGGGTCAAAAATAACTATAAAATTATCAGTCAAGGGCATCCAGTAGTTTAAAATGAGAAAAAAGGCAGGAATATTCATAATGTTATTTTCGCAGGTGCGATGGTGACAAATTCATCAAAACTCTTAGACATTGATTGTTGAAAGGATTTTGATCGAATAATAAGTTAAATTGCTCACTTTTTTAAAATTCTTATATCATTGAAGCTTAATCTTGATAGGTCGAATATATAAAGGAAGTTCCTTATAACTCAATTTACTTTTTAACTTCATTTGCAACATCATGTCTCTTTTTGACCAATTTGGAGGCTCAAGTCCTATGCCTTAGAAATGTTTGAAATCTATGTTAAAGGCATTGTTGAATGAAAATAAACCATATCACATAAGTTTTGACAAATTAATTATTGTTGCATCTACTAAAGTAACATTATAGGTATTCTTGTCAACTTTTTTACTTTAGATTATTGGATGTCCTAAGCCGACGACTTTTTTGAGCATTTTTGCCCATTTTTTCTTTAAAAAGGTGTTTGATTAACACTTTTTTCAACTGTTGTATTAAACAGTTTTATTTAGTGAAGTACTTGTTATTTTTGAATTATTAAAATCTTATAAGTTTGATAAATTTTTAGTAATTTAGCGAAGTACTTGTTATTTTTAGATTATTATAGATAATTTAAAATGAAATTCTATCCAGAATGAAGATAATTATAGAAGAAAATTATGAGTATCATGGGTCACTTAAACAGTTTAAATTTTAAATTTAGAAGAATAAGTACTTTTTGGAGGAAAAAATAATTGGATATTCTTAAATTTTGTTAACAAAATTTCAATTTTATTTAATTAAATTATAAATATCAATATTACGACAAAGATGTATAAAATTTATATAAATATTTAAAGTTTTCCAAAACGTACATAAAAAAGGACTATTACTTATATGATCTTCAGTAGATAAAATCATAAGAAGGTTTGCATATCTGCGCGAATAAAATTATGATAATCAATAATTCGAATAATTTTTGTGTAATTTTTCAGCATATGCTGGAAAGAAAAATTTTAGCTTCTTTTTATACACACATACAGATATATTAGATAAAATTGCTTTTTGGCCAACTCCTTTTCCATGGAAGAAAACTCACATACACGGAGCCACTCAAAGCACCCACGCCCTGCATACTGCAGGGTGGGAGTGGTGCCACTTATGTCACGTGGCCACTGGCAAATAAAATTGCTTTTGCTATCACTTAGAAGTACTTTATTTCCCCAAACATGCTTTCAGTCAAAATCAAACAAACTTGGCAGGAAATTATGAGACAGTTACGCAATTTGGAAAAAGGTAAGGAAAATTTTCCTGGAACCCTCTTTACTAAACTTATTTACAGTAAACTCCTACAAAATTCTTGAAGCATAGTTTCAGTCCTGTGAATTTCATTTGGGCAAATTTAAATTAAATTTTTCAGGAAAGACACAAATAACCTCAATCTCTTACATCACTTATTTATTTTCCATACAACACTTATTCATTTTCCTTACATGAGTTATTTATGCACTTAACTTCACTTGTTTATATTTATTATGGTATCATGTCTTTTTTGGTAAATCATTATGATGTTAAGTTGTTAATAAGGGTTGTAAATTTCACTTACGTCAATTATTCATTTTTTATACATCAGTTATTCATTTTTGTTACACGAGTTGTTGATGCATCTAACTTCATTTGTTTATATTCATAATGGTATTATGTTATTAATGAGAGTTGCAAATGTCATTTACATCAGTTATTTATTTTTCATATATCAGTTGTTCATTTTTTCTATATAAATTATTTATATGCCTAGCTTCACTTGTTTTTATTCATAAGGGTGTTATGCTATTAATGAGAATTGCAAATTTTTTCTATATCAATTACTCATTTTCTATATATTGATTGTTCTACTTCAGTTATTTTTATTCAAGGGATTGGTATTATTTGTGACATGTCCTTTAAAAGCTTAATTTCAATGTAGTCTAAATAAGACTCATAAGAACGCAACCGACATTTCAAAATTTTAAGAGATTTAACTGTAAATAAGTTTGTTCAAGGGAGTGGCAGTGAACTTTTCCAGAAGAGCATTGGGATCAATCAACAACATCATTGGACCGTGGCGAAGATGATCATGTACGTGATGGGAACTTTCATATATATATATATATATATATAATTATAATATGGTTAGCACAAATGAAAACCGGTAATAAGCACTATATATATATATAAATGATACTGTGCGATGATTTCCCAATTTCTAAACTATTCTATTAATTAAATTGATCGTGATTAATATGTGTTAAGTGAATTGGTCATCTGTCCATACCTGTAAAGAAACATTTAGGACTTTCTCATGAGCAAGATCCAATATTGTTGAACTGTACGTTGAAGTTCCACTTTTTTTGAATTCCCGGCCGGCTGAGTTAACTTTTTCCTCATCATCGTTCCGTATTTACCCCTTTTTTTAATATAGGCAGGCGAATTTATTTGTGTGGCAAGAATGTTGAAAAATGAATTTTATTAGGGAATATGATAGAATATACCCTGAACTATATAAATGACAATTAAATACTGCAAAATATGTAATTATTTTCTAATCCCTTGTTTAATATGGTGACTTGCTTGACATTTTTTGTGAAATGACATATTTACCCCTATTTAGAAATTATCAATGAAGTCCAACAACTAAAAATTAGTTTCTACTTTCTGTTGAGAAATTACTAGTTTTCTAAGGAAAATGCCTAGAACAGAATAATAAATTACAAGTTGCTTGTACAATGTTTTTATAAGTGAATTTTAACAATTTAAAATCAATTATTATTTTCTTTTTTGAAATGACTAGAACAGAATAACAAATTGCAAATTGTTCTGTACAAATTATAATTACTTACTGCTTTCTTTAATTTTATTTTTCAAAAGGGTAAAAAAGTCTTTTCACATTAAAACTAATTGACAAACAAGCCCTCAAAAACTAGAAAGTAATTATCACGTTTCTTGAAACCTAATTGTCATTTGTATATTTTGAATGTATTGTTTTTTGTCATTCTCCCCTTTTATTGTTTATAACTTTGATAATTGGTAATAGTAGTACAACTTATTATATAGTCTCTTTCTCATCCTATTTGTAATATGTTTGGAACATTTTTCTTGTGTTTCAAGAAAAAATTATGTTTTTTTTATTTTTTAAATTAAAAAAAATCCAAACTTTCTAATTTTATTCTTAGTGAAAACACCTCTGTAAGTCCTTATAGTTTATACTAATTTTCAATCAAGTCCTTATAATTATAGTTTATACTAATTTTTAATCAAGTCCTTATAATTTTAATTTTTAATCATGTATGGCTTCCAAGCTTTCTAGAATTTCAAATACAGAGGTCAAATACTAGAGTAAATCTTGAATTGAAATCATCAGGTGGAACATCATCCATCTTCAAGCTTATTGCAAGCACCCTCACTAGCCTCTTCAGCCTCATTTCTTTGCTACGTAGCATCAATTGAAAACAGGGCATTTTGCAAAAGAAACATCTAAAAGGTTTTGACTTTTTACATTCTCAGGGAAAAAGCAACGAGTTCTAGGAAACACCCATTGCGTACCTCTTTTTACAACAATGGCAACGACTAGAGGAACTGTCGCACTCTTGCCGGAACCCAAGTTCTCAGAGCAACACTTTATCTTCAACCATATGCCCAAACCTAACTCGACTGAGGATAAGAATTTCCTGACCCAATTCGTTTTCCCCTCTTTATCCACTCAGCTTGTCCCTTGACCCTTATACCGTTAGCCACATCAGCAATTTTCAAACGATGTTAGCGGGAACTAGAGAGGGATTAACGGGTCTAGCTTTTGAAATCATAAGGATCCACTTAAAACAATTGAAACTAGGAAGACCTAATTAAAAATCAGTGTAAACTATAAGGACTTGTAAAGGTATTTTTCCTTATTCTTGTTAATAAAATGAAGATGTTAAATTACATTATTATTTGTGCAAATGTTTTCTTAAGTTAAAACATAGGGAAAATAATGTTTTGATCTTTACAGTTGTTAAGTTGGTTCTTTTAGGTTCACTTTTTTCTTTTTTTTTAAAAAAAAAATCACTCCTTACAATTACAACTGTTTGAACCGTTAGTTCTTAGCTCATTAATCTGTTATAATATTAGTCTAACAAAGTCTAGCTCAGCATGATGGGGTTAAATTGATGTTAACTTAGCACAACACATGTTAAAATTTATTGAGTCACTATTTATTTTTTTAAGGTTAAAAGGAAATGAAAATGCACAGCAAAATGCTTCAAACGCAATACAGAGAATAAGGCTTCAACGTTTCTCCTCTGAGAACTTCAAGATTCTTTCGGGTCTTCTATAATTGAGCTTATATGAGCGTTTCTCCTCTTTTGTTCCACAACATTGACGAAAAGATTGTGGCAAAGTAACAAATTATGAAGGAAGGGTCTTGGTAGATGATAAAAGTTGTAGAGGAAGAAGGATGGAGGAACATGTTGCTTCGAAGGAAATCACAACCATCATCTTCTCAAAGAGTCCCACCAATCACCCAAGAGTTTGTTACCCAGTAGAAATCACAACCATTAAAGAAATCAGTAAAAGCCACTAAAAAGCAACGATGAAAAATAAACACAACTACAACATAAAGCAATCTTCTCCCAGTTCATCAATTAGGAATCAAAGTGAATATGCCAATTGCACTATTATAGCATTGTAAATTGAAGGTAGCTTAAATATATAGAGCAATCACAAGAGAAACCCAAAATTCCAATTAGCCACGTATTTGTAGATTACAAACTTAGAGCAATCAAAGGAGAGAGGTTGAGCTGAAAACAAGGGGTTCATAACAAGTTGATCTATTAACAGATGGCATGCATGTTGGCTAGAGATTTGAATGTGCGGTCAGGCAAATCAGAAGCACCGACGTTGAAAGAAAATCAGAAGGTTGGCTAGGGTTTTCAATACCAGTCGATTGAAGTGCTCAATGGAGATGAAGAAAGATCTAACACCACATCAATGGCTGACAATGAGTAAATAGAGATCGAAGACTTTGTTGTTCAAACCAGTGTATCATGTGCCAGAAAAGCCTGGATTCCATCAAGTTGAAGACAGGTCATTGTGGGTTGAAGATGGGTCGTCTTGTTGGAGACGCTATCAGTCGCTCGTTTCATCATTGAGTTCTCCTCCTTGGGTTCTCTTCCTTCATTGAGTTGTCCTCCTCTCAAGAAATTTCTCCCTCCAAATTTAGGGAGGACACGAGAGAGAATCAAGAGAATTCAGGATAGAGAATTGAGGAGGGATAGGGTTCTCTATTCTCAGTGTTTTTTATTTATTTTAGCTTTAAAAAAAAATAAAAAAATGACTCCAACAAATTTTAATGTGTTATGTTGAGTTGGCATCACTTGAACATTATCATGCTCTACTGGACTTCGTTAGATTAACTTTATAATAGATTAATGGACCAAAGACCAAGAGTTTAAATGATTGTAACTGTAGGGAGTGATTTAAAAAAATAGAAACTATAAAGATCAAATTGACAACTATATAAAATTATAAGGACCAAAATAAAACTAGAAGATTATTTTATCTTTTTGTTTAACACTGTGTAGTTAGCATCACTTTTTGCTTTAGTGAGACACCATAATAACTTATAGATAGGATGGGATCAAAGTACGTACTATTTTACTATGTAAATTGATGATGATTAAATTGACCATGGGTATATGGAGGTAACTGATTCATATTAAATGGACCATGGGTATATGGAGGTAACTTAATTAGAATTAGTGGTCGCCAGACTTTCGAAAGTTTACACTTTCTCTTGTAGTTTTCTTCTAACTTGATAGACTTAATTTCTGCCTAATAATTTATTAAATGTCTATTCTTGAACTTAGATGTCATATATATAGGTTGAGTCATGTATAAATTTAACATGCTTTCACGTATTTTGGTATTTTGTGGTGAAAGAAAGAAAATTAACGCTTATGTTTAGTCCGCCCACAGATAAGGGCACTCTGATGTTTTCCCGCGTCGGAACACCGCGGACGCGCTTCTATCAGAGTCGACCAGATCTGTAAAGAGAGAAGTCGTGGACGCTGCTGGAAATGGAGGAAGGAAGTGACGCGAGTTCGACTTGCTTGGCTACGAAGGAGGAGAGAGTACGAAGCGTGATACATAGCGTGAGTTTCAGAAGACAGAACAGAGACAGATGCCCCGAGGAGGGCCCTCGGCGGGGGCGGGGGTTGGGGGTGGGGGCGGTGGAGGAAAAATATTTAAAAGGGGAAGAGACGAAGGGTAATGCGTGACTATCACGCAGAAATCTATTTTTATTTAAAAGCCTCCAAAGCTATTTTATTTAAATTATCCAGAATACTAGTTTTTTAATCCTTTGTTTAACACTTATAAATTTATGTCTGAATTTTGATTAACATAGTATCTAATTAATGGATAAAGCTGATAAAGAGAAAATCTAGATTTAAAGAGATAAATACAAATAACTGAGGTAGAGATATATTTATGAATGTGTGATAATTGGCTCATATTTATAGTGCCTGATGATAATTCGAACAAGATTATCTTTAATAAAAAAAATACTTTTAAATTACAAAAAAAATTATAATTTCATACTTTGATAATAATTTTAGGTTGCATAAGGGTAAATTCAATAATAATTGATAAAAAAGTTAATTCATTAAATAAAAATTAGTAACCTATAGAATAAATCTTCAATTTCAATGCTTCTATTAATTGAAAAATATTTGCATATTTATTATTGATTTTTTATTATTTTTAATTTTCTTCTTTAATTCATAGTTTTCTCTTATTTTTACTATTTTTAAAAATAAAATTTATTGAAATAGAAAAACATTCACCTCTATGTGAGTTTTGACACATGAAATACTCTAAGTTATTTTATTACTGTGATCTCATACAGTTGTAAAACTGATCATAATCTAATGTAAAATAAAGGTGTTCATTGGCTTAATTTAGTTTGGTTTTGGACAAAAATCAAACCAACCCAAATCATTTGGTTTATTCATAATTGAGACTTTATCAATTCTTGTAAAAATTGGTTTGGTTTGGTTTTATTTTTTGTTTGGTTTAGGTTGGTTAAAGTCCAAATCAAGCTTCAATACGCTTATTTAATTTTTTTTCTTTTTTCATCTTAATAATGGTGTTATGCATTAAAATTAAGCCTAATTCTTTTTGGCTCTTTTTTTATAAATAGAGGTATAAAATTATAATAAAATTTCTATGTGCTAACAATAATTAATCATAAAAATTGATATTAGTTTTTAAGATTAAAATTATTTAATATCATGCATTTTTGTTTGAATCCTTTGAAAATGTTTATCTATGTATCTATGTTTTAATATACAATGAAAAAATTATAATAAAAAATTTTAAATAAAATGCTTCTTGTAGATAAATTAAATACATTAGGCTTTTAAATTGTAAATAATTAAAAATATGATCATAGCATATGTGATAAATATATATAATGAAACTTCTCAAGTTGTTGATCCCATCTCGTAAGGGTTTGCTTGATCTCATTCTCAACTCTCTGGTTAAGTCTCACCCATTTGTGACTCTCACCTCTTTCTTTCTTTCTTTCTTTCTATGTTTTTTTTTTTGGATATAATGCAACAGTCACTTCTCAGACTCTTCATCTCCTCTATCTAATTTCATTTGGGCTATGGGAAGTGGGCTAATAGGTTTATTTAATAGGTAATGGGTTTAGGCAAGGGGTTTGGATTTATTTGTAAACTCATATTGGATTAGGATTAAAGTTAGATATTTTATAAATAAATAGTATTTTTTTAATCAAATCTAGTTCAGGTTCAATTTGGTTTTTAGTGCTCAAAACCAAATCCTAAACTAAACCAATTAGTTTCCACATTATAAAAATTGAACCTAACTTGATTGTTGGCAGATGTGGGTTAGTTCTTTTGGTTTTGATCAGTTTTGAACACTCTTAATTGTTGTAAAGGATGTAATAAATTGTATGTACAACTAGGGAAAAAAATACATGTTATAACCATAATGCATTGTCAAGGATAAAAGTAGCAAACATAGAATATTTTTTCATACTAATGGAACAAATTTAGATTTGTCTTAATTAGCAAAATATACAAAGCAACACAACCAAGAATCAAAATACTTATAGTAATTTGTATTCCTATGTATACCACACCATGAGATTGAACAAAAGAGTATTGACTAATTTTGAATATAATCAACGACCAGTTTGTAAAGTTGTAGTTAAAGAAGTTATTTCAGAAATAACTTTTGGTTTGGGAGCATGATATATTGGAATAGGCCTCTTTGAAGGAAGATAGGGCAGGGCAACCTCAAAACACAACACTTGAATTGCTTGCCTAATAGATGGCCTCATGTTCTTATCTGGGTGGGCACACCACAAACCCACAATCATCAAATACTCCACTTCTCTCTTATTATAGTCCTCCTGCAACTTTTCATCCATGGCTAAAGCTAGCTCTCCCCTCCCATAATGATTCCAAACCCACTCAATCAATCCTATTACCCCATCTCCATCCTTCATAAGATCATTTGCCTTTCTTCCTGTAACAATCTCTAAGGCAACTACTCCAAAACTATAAACATCTGATTCCTTGCTGGCCCTGCCTGTACTTACATATTCTGGAGCCATATAACCCATTGTGCCTGCCAATCCTGTTGTTTGGGGTCCCAAATCATGGTCCACAAGCTTAGCCAACCCAAAGTCTCCAAGTTTTGCATTGAAACTAGAATCTAGCATGACATTACTTGTTTTGACATCCCGGTGAACCACACATTGTTGCCATTCTTCATGAAGGTAGAGCACTCCTGAGGCCAATCCCAGAGCTATCTTGTGCCTCACGTTCCATGGAAGAGGAGGCTTCTTCCCTGACAAATGAGCGTCAAGGCTACCATTTGGCATGAACTCGTAAACAAGTAGGAACTCGCCTCTTTCATGACACCAACCGATGAGCTGCACAAGATTCCTGTGTCTTAGCTGACTAATGACCCTGACCTCAGTTACGTACTCTCTTTTCCCTTGCCTTGATCCTCTTGATATCTTCTTCACAGCAACTGTTAAATCTATGTCAGGAAAATAACCTCGGTAAACAGCGCCAAACCCACCTTGACCCAGTTTCCTATCTTCAGAGAAATTGTTGGTAGCTTTAGCAAGCTCTCTGCGAGAGAACCTTCTCGGTCCTGCTTCTCTTTCGAGGACATCATTCATTGATGTTAAGTTCATATCTTCCTTTTTGCTTCTCGTTTTCTTCTTTCTCCAGAGTAAAGCATACGCTACAATTGCTCCTCCAACTATCAAAACAACACTCACTAAAACGGTACTCAGAACCACCGTAAGTGAAGTCTTGTTTTTACTCTGTTCTGTGTCATCCAAAGTTGAGTTGAACTCCCAAGAGAGAAGAGTATGGAGTTCTTTAAAGGGTCCCGTTGCTGCAGAAAATCCAACTGTAACCCATTCTGGTAGTGCCTTGGATAAATCAATTAGATAAGAAAGACTAGTGTTCTCTTGAGGACTATGCGTGTTCTGGTATTTCCACGATACACTAAAGTTTTTCGAAGTAGAGTTGTAGGTAATCCACACGTCTGCAGGATCATTGCTGTGTAGAGTTGTATTCCAATACGTAGATACTGATGAAATAACAGAATTATTGTTGATTCCCACATGTGTCATGGTCTCGCCCCATTCAGCGTTTGCGTAAGAGTCAAATTCCACATGAACAATCTGGCTCTCACGTGATAGACCTGTTGAGGCGTTGTATATGCCCAGAAAGCCACTAGCAGAATTTGGAGGGATTTTAAAACCAAAAGGAGCAAGGAAGAAGCATAGCCCATAGCCATAATTAATGTTATCTTGAGTGTCTATAGTGAAGGAATAGTGAGAGGTGAAGTCAGTGACGCGTCCAGTATTTGAGTCCCAAAGTTTAACCCTTCTGGCATAGATGGCCCATCCTACTTGACAAGTATACCTTGCATTCATGTTGAACTGAACAGCACCAGCTCGAGATCCTGCAGATCCCAGGTACAGTATGTCGGCATCATCAGATCCAAATCCAGACCTTTGAATGTAAACTGAATCAACAAAGAGGACTAAGGAGAAGAAGGACAGCAACATGGGAAGAAGATGAGGATAGCAGTGAGTATTGGTCATGTCTTTTGCTTGGAAAGGAAGTCTACAATGGATAGGAAAGGTTAAAGATTTCAGCGAATTTGTAAATTGGTGTTCACTGGTTATGCACAGATCATTATGAATCACTCAAAGGGGAATCCATCTGGAATGAAGATATAATAATTGAGAAAGTTTAGTGCAGAACAGACTGGTGGGTTCTCCATGCTGTACTGTGGTCAATGATATTATTTTAATTAATTAGGATAATATGATAAGGCAAAGTCCAACTTTGCAAGCGTAGATCCTGGAAAATGTCGGGACAGTTTCTTGGGTTGATCTGAAACTGTTAACATATGAGTGGACTTGAAAATTGTTGTGCCAGATACATTCATGCAGGTTTTTGTCTATTTTTCAATTTTTATTTTCAATTATTTGTTAATACTGAATAGATTTTTAGCAAAAACGGTTAAAAAATGGGGTTTGCTAAACAATTTTATCTGTTGCCGTATTTGACAGTTGTTTAGATAGAAGTTCTTGTTATTTAAATTAAAATTGAAAATGATATTTTTTTTAAATGATTAAATATTCTAAATATTCTTAACTTTAATTTTGATCAAATTAACTTTAAAAGTCGATATCTCGAAAATATATGAAAATCGATATTACAACCAGGATATATAACATATTTAATTAAAGTAAATATGAAATATGACATACAAAATTAAAATAAATATTTAATGTTTTTGAAAACTCTGACAAAGAATGGCAATCACTTCTACGAACTTCATTACAAGAGGAAAGATTTTGCATTATTACATTTTTGTGAATATAGTTATGATAATTAATAATTTTGATACTTTTTTAACATAACTTTATTACACAACAAGAATGTTTAAATCCTAGATCTTTACCCCCACCCTATTTTTATCGTGTAAATTAGTCTCGAATAATGGTGGTTTCATATGTTTGAGAGGGGGAAAAATCAATTTTCTGTTTTTTATATTAATAAAATTGCTTTACAATTACTTAGAAGATTTTTTTTAAAAAAAGCTAATTAATTAAAACATCAAAAAAATTAAACTCTAATTTTTTAAATATATTGATCTCCCTAACAAACATTGCCAAAATCATGTCAACTTACACAATTCTTGTAAACTATCACTACTAGAAAAATGCAAATTAGCAAGAAAATTTAGCGAGGAATCATCTATTCCTCTCTAAAATACCAAGTTAGCGAGAAAATTACTGAGGGATGTTGATTTCGTAGCTTGACTTAAAATTAGCGAGGAAATTAGCGAGGGACTGTCAATCCCTCTCTAAAATGAGAGAATTGGTGAGGAAAATAGTGAGGGACTGTCAATCCCTCTCTAAAATAAGATAATTAGTAAGGAATTTAGCGAGGGATTCTATCCCTAGCTAATTACTACAAAAAAATTACCTTTTGACAATGACTTTTAATTATACATTTAATTATTTTCATTTAAAAATAATAGTTAAATTTAAAAATTAACTAAAATATTCATAATAAAATTATTTAATATTTTCTTTATTTTAAGTTGATTTTCATTAATAAAATACTATTTTATTAAAAATATAATATAAAGAATAATTTAAGTAAAATATAAATATTTTTAACATATTAATAATTAAAAATAAAATTTAATATGTATATGTGTGTATTTTTATAATATATTGTTTGATATATTTATGTAGTTAAATAATATATATATATATATATTTAATTTATCATATAATGCTTGTAGGTGCCTTTTAGTTCAACTAACAAAGAAGGAGAGCACAAAACTTGGAAGGTATGAGGTCAAGGGTTCAAACCTTGGCTTTGGCATAAACATGATGAATATATGATATAGTAAGGAGCAAGTGACATGGCACAAGGTGGACAATGATGTGTCATGAGTTGTCGCACATGTAGTGAGTGATAGGACACGAGATGGTAGGTGACATGGTGGTTGATAAAATATAAGGTTGTTGATGACATGTCACAAGTTGACATCACATATGGTGGGTGATATGGCATAATTATTTTTAAATATAAACATATTTAGCGAGGGATTAGTGAGGGATTCAATCCCTAGCTAATTTTAGCGAGGGATTCAATCCCTCGCTAAATCCCTCACTAATTAGCGAGTGAAATATAATTCCTCACTAAATTTAGCGAGCTCTTTTTTAGTTACGAATTTAGTGAGGAATAAAATTCATAGCTAAAATGCAATTCAACTATGAAAAAGGGCATTTAGCGAGGAATTCATTCCTCGCTAAATTCAATTTTTCTAGTAGTGTATATATCATTCACAAATATATAACACAATTTTATCTTTTTATCATAATTTTATGAATCAGTTACATTTATGTTAAATCAAAATCATGACCGGATGCGCGCGTTAAAAACAATAATTAATGTGAAAAAAAGAATAATCAATGGGTATCAATCAATAATTCATCCTTAGACCCTACATGAGGTGACGCTGATGTACCTGAGAGGGACTTTCATATATGTAACATATTATTTATATTACGATTACTGGTTAACGCACAAGAAAATCGGTAAACACAAAATATAAATAATATTGTATGATAATTTCACAGTAGTTTGTAAAATATATTACTACTTCATTTTCAAGTTTGAAGAAGCATTTATCATATTTTCTTCAAATTGTCCCTTATAAAGTCAATGTTTATTTTCACTAAACAAGTGAAACATATTAATTACTGTAATAATTTAGTCCAATTTTTAAATTTTTAGATATAATAATTATACTTAACTAACTTTTTTAAACTATATGAATTAGTAGGACGGAGACAGTATGCCATTATAATTATATTTATAACACATTATTTTATTGAAATCAAGAAAATTTTTAAAATTCATTAATCAAATCTAAAAATTAAATAAATTTTCAACTTTTTGTCCTGATTAAATATATCTATTTTAATAATATACTTTCTTTACAAAAAATATAAATTTTTTTACTAATATTTAATGAGAATAAAAAAAATTTGTAACATGCAAAAATATTTTTCTCTCCCCACTTTATCAATAGGACAAGAGGGAGTAATTAAATTACTAGGCTGGCCAAAAAAATATTGTAATTAAATTGACCATGGATATAAGGTAACTGAATTCGTACCGTACGTGTAACAAACCTTTTGGACTTTTTCATGGATAAGATCTAATGTTTTTGTTGAAGTTCCGTACGTAGTTTGAATTCCTCGCCGGCGTGACTTGATTAGAGACCTTACAATAAAAAACTGAACAATCATTCTTAATCATGTTTATAAAACAATCAATAATTGTGCTGATTAGCTTACTCGATATGTTCTCAGAGATAGTCTGAATATTAAAATTTTAGGTAAATCATCTTTAGGGTGTAATAATTTTTTGACCGCTGATATAACTTAATTGTTATTTTTGCACAGTTTCTGTCATGGCCTTTCTCATTCCAACCAAATAAAAAAAAAAAAAAAGAATTCCTCGCCCGCGGTGTTTAATTTTTGCTCCCAAGCGTTCCATGTTTATAGATATATGGACAATTTTATTTGTACATTGTATGAATTTTCAATGATCAGCTTTATCATCGATTTGAATGGTTAACCACAAAATTTATTTGAAGACATTTTCTAGAAGCTTATATTTGCAAAAATATAAGGTATTGATTAGTTGTTATACTTTTTTTAATTATATTTCTTTTTTTTTCTTTTGAGATTACAAGTGGAGGCAAAAGCTTAATTATTGAACAAGCAAAATGTAAAAAATCAACCTATATCCGTGGAACGGTGATCGAGATCGTAGTCCCGTGAGAGCAATATACTCATCAGCAGGTGATTCCATAAACGTGCTTAATTATTGGTTTGAATTGTGTGCATTTCGAGCAAGCCAATCACTACATGTATTTATTTATCTAAATATATGGTCGTATAATGCCTCTTTATCTTGCATGAGCAGTTTTCTAATGTCTTTTGAAACTCCAAAAGTAGGATATAATACATCTTGAAATTTTTATGTTCTCAATATAGCTTTCCTTGAATCTGAAAACAATTTAACCTCTTTGAAGCCAATGTTCGAATTAAGTTTAAACCTTTTCTTATGCTCATTCCAGCCGTAATGTAAGGGTAATATCCGAGCTTTATCTTAACTCTACCTCTCCAATTATTGTGTATTCACCTCATATAATTCAATAAGTTCTCTGACTATACCCTACTTCATATATTATTTTTTTTGAAAGAAAATGGTTATTCCAAATTTCAATTATCATTGTATAAAAATATAAATATTTAAAAATATCCTTCATTTAATAACCTTAAATCTACATTTAGTTAGAATTAAATAAGGAGAGATAAAGAATAATATTAAAATAAACCTATTTAATAAAATTTTAATATTCTCAAAATGTCTTATATTTTAGACATTAAATCTCTTTTAAAGTGTCTTATAATTTAGTTTGGAAGGAATATCTTTCAATTTTACCCATGTACAAATGATTAAAGAAAGAATTTAATTCTAATTTAGTGTTTACATTGATTAGTGGTGGACTGAAGACCTTAGCTCAGTGGGGGCAATATTTATCATTTTTTAAAAGATTAATATTAATAATTATTATATAAAGATATATTTAAATTTTATATTAAGTATGTTATAAAAATTATATTTTCCGTTAAAAATTATAAAATTTATAATCTTATACTATACTAAATCATTTTTATCAACTTTTAACTAATTACAAACAGCTATATAATCATAAACTCATGCTCATTCCATAATATTTTTTAATTATATTCTCATTAAATATTTTATATAAGTATCTTAATAATAACAAGTAAAATTGGAATGAACCATCTTTTAAAAGAAATAATAAATAATATAAGGATAAAATTAAAAAAAAAAAACTACCCCATACTTTATATTTTAGATCATGACTTCAAAAGTCCTATATTAAAAATCTACTCACTTATTATCATTTTTTTACCAACAAAGAGAAACTCATTAAGCAAAAGCAAAGAAATCCAAGTGCAACAAACAAAATAGAAGGCGTAAGTAATGACAACTACAGACTGGAAAATTACAGAGAGAAAACAAATCATTAGTCACTGCCTTCTGTTTTTATTTTTAAAA